TCTCTCTTCCTCCCTTGCTCCATCTTGAACGCTGTCGCAGAGACGCTCCGGCTACCCTTTCTCCTCCGCTGCTCTCTCGTGACCCTCCCGTCCACCCGCGACCGTCCCGCTCCCGTGTGTCTCGGCGCGCGACGTTTATCGTCGATTTTGATGCGTTGAATCCTGCAATTTGTTAATATCGCGACGCGTTGATTGAAACGTTTGTCGCAATGCTGACGTACCAACGATGACGATTCTCCTTGTCACACTCGCGACACGCGGAACTTCGCTTACTGGGCTAGAGCATCGGGTTTAGAAACTCTAAACTAACATGGAGTACGATAATTAGGATGTCAGTCTCTGTACGGCGATTCCGCGTGCAGTGAGATTCAACCGTGATGTTCTTGCAGATTCTTCTGTACGTTCTTTTCGTCTTCTTGATGTTTCGCGAATTTTGAATTATACAGCTTTATAGCCGCTCTATAAATTTCAGATCGATTTCATTCGTTGAATCATTCTTTTTTTTTTTGCTTTTTCGTCTTCTAATATCCAAACAACCTTTAAACAATACTTTCTTTAAAATTGTTTGTAAATTTCATTTAAAATTTTGTCAATATTATTATTTATGTTAACACAATAAGTAAAATTTATCTCTTATAATTTTTGTTCAATATTTTTATAGACAATATGATTGATTTTATCAAATATTTAATATATTTTATTATCTCAGAGACTTAAATGTTATTGTTAATTAACACAGGAAAACGGAAAAATGGCACAGAAAAAAATATAGGAAATATTTTAACAAGTAATGATATAAGTTTATTAGTGAAAAATGAAAATAAGCTGAATACTACCAAACAAATAACAAATAAATTTGATACAATCAAGGAGCAATCTGTATTAGAAACATGCAAATCTTCTATACATAAAGTTCATAGTCAAGTAAGTATCTTGCGTTTAAATTTATAGTATATTTTAAATATATTTGTTTTTTCATTAATATTTGTTAATAAATAAATAAATTTTAAAATGTATTTCTAATCATATGTATTGCAATGTTTTTCATGCATGTTATTTCATTTATAGGATTCTAATAACAAAGTTGCAAAAGGCAAAAGTTTATTTGCCCATTATCTTTTTGATAATGCAGAAACTGTTTCACCTTGTATTCAAGTAAAGAAGGAGATTACTTATGTAGAACAATTCAAAACCGATGGTATATAATCATAATTTCATTTATATTAATTTTATTTCTTTTTAATTTAATTTATATAAAGAGATTGATTTTTTAGAGACACCAGTGGCTGTTCCAGTTCATACGCCTTCTACACCACATAGAATAAAGATGCCAACAGAGGATTTAGATGAAGGAGCTACAATTACTACCAATATAAAACAACCTGTGATTACATTACTTAGTCCGCTACAAGTTACAAAGAAGCCAGCTCAACGTGGACGTAAAAAAGGAACCTGTTGTCAGTCTGTCAGTCATCGTTTGTCAAAGCCGGTGAACGGTGAAACAAATCATTCGATTACCGACTACTTTCCAGTACGTCGTAGTGTAAGAAAGAGCAAGAAGATTGTACTAGAAGAGAAACAACGTGATCTAGAAAATAAGGTGATTTGTCAGGTGAAAGATGGTTTAGAGGTAAATACCCCTATATAATTATAAGATCTGACAGGAACATTAGTATACTTTTCAAATAACTGAAATAAATTATGGCAATCTATTTCCTGTTACAGGTAAAAAACTTTTCGGGTAAAGGTCGCGGTGTCATAACGACACGAGAATTTGCTAAAGGCGAGTT